CCCCCCCCCCCCCCTTGTCTTTCCCGCCAACTCATTCACAATGTCAGCGGTGTGATAAAGGTGGAGTATAAATAGTGTAGTATATTACTGGGAAAGGGAGCGGGGCTGCTCAATGACCAGCTTACCACTTTGGCTCGGCTAAACTGTTCACACTTGTGAATGAACTGGTAGGCGTGTTCGGTGGGTCCACGTGGCGCAGGCCTCGGTTTGACGGTAGGGAGCAGCTTTGTGCTCTTGTGGCGGGACACCGCCAGTGATGGTATGCATCCCGACAGTCATATATGACGGTACCTCGGGAAGGTACCAGTGCCAAGTGTGACTGGCGCGACACATGTGTTTCACTTGTAATATTATGTGGGCGAGAAGGACCCAGCTGGAGACTTGCCAGCATCCGGCGGGCGGTGGGCGAGGCGGCGTTGATAACGCTGGAGATGACTGGGTATACTGATGGTATCCAGAGTGGTGGAGGGAGCAGGTATACCAGTACCTGGCCACAGTAACCTTACACAATATTATGAGGCCGGGGGGATGGTTGATCTGACCCCCCCCCCCACCCTGGCCTCGCGTATGTACGCGCTCGTGCGCGCTCTGGACCTGAGCAACCCGCGTGTGTGGTCAACATTATTACATTCCAGATTTGTCATTAAAATTGAAAACTTGATATTTAAGTTGACTATAATGCAATTGCAAAGTTGCTACTTTCTTCACCAAAGTTTGGTTATAGGCGAGGGTTGTAAATATGAGGGTGATACAGTGTCGGGTGGTTGTAGGGAGCGGTGAGTGGAGCAGCAGTAGCCTCCACCCTGTGAATGGAACACCTCACCCCCCTCCCCCTCCCCACCGGTATTTCCTTCCTCTGACCAGCCTGTAGGGGTGCCGCCCTGTGATGTACGCTTACACCATTATCCTGTCTGGGTACACACACCTCCCCCCTCCCTCCCCCCCAAGGGAACCCCTTTCTCCTACCCCCCCTTCCCCTCCCTCCCCCCACACCCTGTCCACACCATCTGCATATATTATTATAATACTAATACTACTTATACACGGGAGACATCTCCCGTCACGCAGGGTGCAGTCGCACCTCCACAGATCTCCAGTATCAGCTCTTGATACTGGTAATGGCTCAAAAGGGCCACCACTTACGGGCTATTCATGCCCGTGCCACCTGTTGGGTGGCTTAATCTTCATCAATCATCAATCACTACTTACACAGGGTTCAAGTGGAGAAGGTAAGACGGCGAGGGAGAGGACACACGGTGGACTCCGGTGTCCACCTGGGCTGGATCTCTACTTACGTTACATTGAAATTTCCTGTTATTCTGTTTGGCTTATTGTAGAGTGTAGCACTGCTGTGTGTCACATGGGCTGGGCACTTCCGCACTCTGGCCAACCACCACCTCCTGCACATTGTGTCCTTGTTGATGAACCACAGTTACTAGCGAGGACCAGTGGACCTCATGGTCACTCCCCGCCCCAGTGTGGACCCTTCTATATCCCCCTGTCCCTTGGTCGCCCCCGTGTGGACCCTTCTATATCCCCCTTCCCCTTGGTCGCCCCCGTGTGGACCCTTCTATATCCCCCTTCCCCTTGGTCGCCCCCGTGTGGACCCTTCTATATCCCCCCCCCCCCGTGGTCGCCCCCGTGTGGACCCTTCTATATCCCTCCCCCCCCCTGGTCGCCCCCGTGTGGACCCTTCTATATCCCCCTTCCCCTTGGTCGCCCCCGTGTGGACCCTTCTATATCCCCCCCCGTGGTCGCCCCCGTGTGGACCCTTCTATATCCCCCCCTGGTCGCCCCCGTGTGGACCCTTCTATATCCCCCCCTGGTCGCCCCCGTGTGGACCCTTCTATATCCCCCCCCCTTGGTCGCCCCCGTGTGGACCCTTCTATATCCCCCCCCCCGTGTGGACCCTTCTATATCCCCCCCCCCGTGTGGACCCTTCTATATCCCCCCCCTGGTCGCCCCCGTGTGGACCCTTCTATATCCCCCCCCCTGGTCGCCCCAGTGTGGACCCTTCTATATCCCCCCCCCGTGGTCGCCCCCGTGTGGACCCTTCTATATCCCCCCCCTGGTCGCCCCCGTGTGGACCCTTCTATATCCCCCCCCTGGTCGCCCCCGTGTGGACCCTTCTATATCCCCCGCCCCTGGTCGCCCCCGTGTGGACCCTTCTATACCCCCCCCTTCCTGGTCGCCCCCGTCTGGACCCTTCTATTCCCCCCCCCCCCCTGGTCGCCCCCGTGTGGACCCTTCTATACCCCCTGGTCGCCCCCGTGTGGACCCTTCTATACTCCCCCTGGTCGCCCCCGTGTGGACCCTTCTATACCCCCCCCCTTCCTGGTCGCCCCCGTCTGGACCCTTCTATTTCCCCCCCCCCCCTGGTCGCCCCCGTGTGGACCCTTCTATATCCCCCCCTGGTCGCCCCCGTGTGGACCCTTCTATACCCCCCCCCTGGTCGCCCCCGTGTGGCCCCTTCTATACCCCCCCCCCCTTGGTCGCCTCCGTGTGGACCCTTCTATACCCCCCCCCCCTGGTCGCCCCCGTGTGGACCCTTCTATACCCCCCTGGTCGCCCCCGTGTGGACCCTTCTATACCCCCCCTGGTCTCCCCCGTGTGGACCCTTCTATACTCCCCCTGGTCGCCCCCGTGTGGACCCTTCTATATCCCCCCCTGGTCGCCCCTGTGTGGACCCTTCTATACCCCCCCCCCCCTGGTCGCCCCCTTGTGGACCCTTCTATACCCCCCTCCCTGGTCGCCCCCGTGTGGACCCTTCTATACCCCCCCCCTGGTCGCCCCCGTGTGGACCCTTTTATACCCCCCTCCCTGGTCGCCCCCGTGTGGACCCTTTTATACCCCCCCCCTGGTCGCCCCCGTGTGGACCCTTCTATACCCCCCCTGGTTGCCCCCGTGTGGACCCTTCTATACCCCCCCCCCTGGTCGCCCCCGTGTGGACCCTTCTATACCCCTCCCTGGTCGCCCCCGTGTGGACCCTTCTATACCCCCCCCCTGGTCGCCCCCGTGTGGACCCTTTTATACCCCCCCCCCTGGTCGCCCCCGTGTGGACCCTTCTATACCCCTCCCTGGTCGCCCCCGTGTGGACCCTTCTATACCCCCCCCCCTGGTCGCCCCCGTGTGGACCCTTTTATACCCCCCCCCCTGGTCGCCCCCGTGTGGACCCTTCTATACCCCTCCCTGGTCGCCCCCGTGTGGACCCTTCTATACCCCCCCTGGTCGCCCCCGTGTGGACCCTTCTATACCCCGCCCCCGTGTGGACCCTTCTATACTCCCCCCCTGGTCGCCCCCGTGTGGACCCTTCTATACCCCCCTGGTCGCCCCCGTGTGGACCCTTCTATACTCCCCCCCTGGTCGCCCCCGTTTGGACCCTTCTATACCCCCCCCCCCTGGTCGCCCCCGTTTGGACCCTTCTATACCCCTCCCTGGTCGCCCCCGTGTGGACCCTTCTATACCCCTCCCTGGTCGCCCCCGTTTGGACCCTTCTATACCCCTCCCTGGTCGCCCCCGTGTGGACAATCATGTACCTCTTGTCGCCCCTGTTATACATGGAAGATACTTGAAGGCCAGGTCCCAAATTTACACCGGAGAATAACTTACTGGAGCGAAAGATACGGAAAGAAATGCAGAATAGAACCAGTGAAGAGCAGAGGTGCCATAGGCACAATCAGAGAACACTGTATAAACATCAGAGGTCCACGGTTGTTCAACATCCTCCCAGCGAGCATAAGAAATATTGCTAGACCAGAGGTGGATGTCTTCAAGATACACACAAGTTCTTGTTAGAAGTGCCACGTATCCACCAGACTGTAGTGGTTATGTGGGCTTGCGGGCCGCTATAGCAACAACCTGGTGGGCCAAGTTGTCACAAGGCGAGCTTGGCCTCGTGCCGGGCTCGGGCAGTAGAACTCTGCAAACCCTCTCCATACAGGTATGCCGGTGTGAAGGAAACCCATGGCCCTAATCTGTCACCGTGGTGTCTTACACTGAGGACTCTTCTTGGGTCACCACTCAAATAACTCACTCAATTTTGCTCTTTTTTTTCAAAAGCTTTTTTTACCATCAAATATATTTGTCTGACCTTGGAAGTGAATATGAGGTAGTTGTATGGATCTACCGCAGAGTTGAACAATGAATACATCTACTCACTCGCCACCAATTAGGGCTACTCTTCCATTTCGTCTTTTCTCTAACCCCCCCCCCCCCCCCCCCGCCCATTTATTTTCTTTCATCCAGCAGTCATTGAAAGTGCCACAACAAATGGAAGCTACAGTAAAAGAAAATCTAAGAAAGCTGTAGCTTGAAGAAAAAGGTGTTATTCAACTGTACAAATCTCTGGGGGGGGTGTACCCCCCCCCCCCCCCCCATTTGTATCCAAGCATGGAGATGAGGGGTCCTCAGGACACGTCTGGTTTGGAGAAAGTACAACGCTACGTCTAAAGGCATCCAGCACTAAGTGGACTCATACCAGTCACGTGTGAGGGCCACAGGAGTAAGGACGCGGCAAACCAGAAGTGACACGGCGAATCTCATCAGAACTTTTTAAAATACTGAACAGTTTTGAGGATGTTGATTCAGACCTCTTCTTTAAAAGGTGAGATGTAACACGAGCAAGAAGCAACAGTTCCAAGCTCAACATGACACAATGTAGATGGAAAACAGGTGATGCTTTTTCACCCATAAGGTTGTAAATCCCTTATGGAATCTTCTACCTACCGAAGCTGTAAATGCCAGGACAAATCCATCCAGAAAAAAATATTAGGTTGAAATGAACCAGCAAACTTTAACAAGCCGCTGGCTTCTTGTCGCAGTCGAGGCCACTAGAGAAATGGTACCTGAAGATCACTTCAGGTAAATTCGGGGACATTACGTCCCCTCCCAACCCTATTTATCTTGTGTGAGGACGTCACAGTAATGACGTATTAACATTCCGGATTACCCTGGGATTTCTCACAGCCACAATTGACTAATATGATGATCTTTATTTCTAGGTGTGCTGAGGGGTTCATGGGTCAGCGGTGTGAGTTCAAGGACTTGGACGGGTCGTACCTTCCCGCGCGGGAGAGGGTGTTGCTGGAGACTGCGTCCATTGCTGGTGGCGCCACCGTCGCCTGTGTCCTCGTGTTTATGGTGCTCTTCGCCGTCTATGTCTTCATGCAGAAAGACAAAGACAAACGGAGTAGGTAAGTCTCATCCCATCTTATCAGGGGGGAAAGCGCCAAGCCATTAAGACTATATAGCACTAGGAAGGGGTCAGGATTGGGATGGGACGGGGGAAAGGGAATGGTGCCCAGCCACTTGGACGGTCGGGGATTGAACACTGACCTGCATGAGCTGGTCAGTCAAGCGACGTCGTCTTCGCGTCTTGGATCCCGATGGTCTAAGTGGTCGAACACGGTCCCTTCGTCCCGCCCTCATACCCCAGCTCCATATTCTCATTTTCAAAGTGCTGTATACTCGTACTGTCTCAGCACTTTCTCCTGATAATTACCTAACTTCTTTGAGAATACCATAGATCGTGATTTTTGTTCATCTCCGTGATATTGGTATATCTTATTACCATCCTTCCCCTCCCCCCCCCTGTCCTTCTCTTCCCCCCCCCCCAGCTCTTCTTTCCCCCCCCCCCAGTCTTTCTCTTTCCCCCCCCCCAGCTCTTCTCTTTCCCCCCCCCAGCTCTTCTCTTTCCCCCCCAGCTCTTCTCTTCCCCCCCAGCTCTTCTCTTTCCCCCCCAGCTCTTCTCTTCCCCCCCCCAGCTCTTCTCTTTCCCCCCCCAGCTCTTCTCTTTTCCCCCCCTCCCAGCTCTTCTCTTCCCCTCCCCCCCCCAGTCTTTCTCTTCCCCCCCCCAGCTCTTCTCTTTCCCCCCCCCCAGCTCTTCTCTTTTCCCCCCCCCCCCAGCTCTTCTCTTTCCCCCCCCCCCCAGCTCTTCTCTTTTCCCCCCAGCTCTTCTCTTCCCCCCCAGCTCTTCTCTTTTCCCCCCCAGCTCTTCTCTTCCCCCCCCCCAGCTCTTCTCTTTCCCCCCCCAGCTCTTCTCTTTCCCCCCCCCAGCTCTTCTCTTTCCCCCCCCCAGCTCTTCTCTTTCCCCCCCCCCCAGCTCTTCTCTTTCCCCCCCCCAGCTCTTCTCTTTCCCCCCCCAGCTCTTCTCTTCCCCCCCAGCTCTTCTCTTCCCCCCCAGCTCTTCTTTCCCCCCCAGCTCTTCTCTTCCCCCCCCCCCAGCTCTTTCCCCCCCCAGCTCTTCTCTTTCCCCCCCCCCCAGCTCTTCTCTTTCCCCCCCCAGCTCTTCTCTTTCCCCCCCCCCCCCCCCCAGCTCTTCTCTTTCCCCCCCCCAGCTCTTCTCTTTCCCCCCCCAGCTCTTCTCTTCCCCCCCCAGCTCTTCTCTTCCTTCCCAGCTCTTCTCTTCCCCCCCCAGCTCTTCTCTTCCCCCCCAGCTCTTCTCTTCCCCCACCAGCTCTTCTCTTCCCCCCCCCAGCTCTTCTCTTCCCCCCCCCAGCTCTTCTCTTCCCCCCCCAGCTCTTCTCTTCCCCCCCCCAGCTCTTCTCTTCCCCCCCCCCAGCTCAGCTCTTCTCTTCCCCCCCAGCTCTTCTCTTCCCCCCCCCAGCTCTTCTCTTCCCCCCCCCCAGCTCTTCTCTTCCCCCCCCCCAGCTCTTCTCTTCCCCCCCCAGCTCTTCTCTTCCCCCCCCAGCTCTTCTCTTTCCCCCAGCTCTTCTCTTCCCCCCCCCAGCTCTTCTCTTTCCCCCCCCAGCTCTTCTCTTCCCCCCCCAGCTCTTCTCTTCCCTCCCCCAGCTCTTCTCTTTCCCCCCATCCCCAGGTCTTCTCTTTCCCCCCATCCCCAGGTCTTCTCTTTCCCCCCATCCCCAGGTCTTCTCTTTCCCCCCATCCCCAGGTCTTCTCTTTCCCCCCATCCCCAGGTCTTCTCTTTCCCCCCATCCCCAGGTCTTCTCTTTCCCCCCCCCCCCCCCAGCTCTTCTCTTTCCCCCCCCCCCAGCTCTTCTCTTTCCCCCCCAGCTCTTCTTTCCCCCCCAGCTCTTCTCTTCCCCCCCCCCAGCTCTTCTCTTCCCCCCCCAGCTCTTCTCTTCCCCCCCCAGCTCTTCTCTTCCCCCCCCAGCTCTTCTCTTCCCCCCCAGCTCTTCTCTTCCCCCCAGCTCTTCTCTTCCCCCCAGCTCTTCTTTTCCCCCCCCCCAGCTCTTCTTTCCCCCAGCTCTTCTTCCCCCCAGCTCTTCTTCCCCCACCCCCAGCTCTTCTTCCCCCCAGCTCTTCTTCCCCCACCCCCAGCTCTCCCAGCTCTTCAATCTCAGCGCACTCGCCGTTCCGGTTGGTATTATTGTTGGTTTAGATTCAGCTCCTGGGAGCCAAAAGTTGCAAGTAGCACGGGCTATGGTGAGCCCGTCGTCCTCACCAAGAATTAGGCAGTACCGCAGTAATAAACTTTCATGTTCCTCCGAGAGAGGTTATTTCTTTGCCCGTGTCTGCTGTTGCAAATGCTGCACGGCTGAAAATAACGAGTAAATGGTAAGCTGGATTTACCTTTTTTAAAGCCATGTTGTTTTTTTCAGATTAATAAATGGAATCTAAGTTCTTCAGAACTGGAGTTAAATTATTTCTGGAATAGTGTATAACTAGTCATTTATTGAATGTGCTTGCCAAAAAATATGAATAATCTCTCCCTTACATTAAGTAGGATCTGTTGAATGTATTGTAAGTTTTGATTATGTTAGTCTAATGTAAAGTTAACTGGTGTTGGTGTCATATGTTGAGGACTAAACACCGACCTGCAAGAGTCTAGCAGGTCAAGTGTTCATATTGACCACGTAGTCAATATGAATACATCTCTGTATTCAATACATACATCTCTATCAATACATCTCTGCAGTCCTGCATCTTTACATTTCTCTGAACACACTGTATATAGCAGCACAGTTGGAGAAGATAATAACTAAATATTTAAGCAATATATTCAGTGTTTTTAAAGTTTTTTCTAATTCAAAAAAAAAAATTGTTTCAGGGAGGTTGATGATGGAGGTAGCAACGACCGACAGCCATTCTCAGGTTATCAAAACCCACGGCCAGAAATAATCCGAACTATCAGCAATCCCTATGCTCGCACCCTCGAGGTAGGTTTTTAATACACTTAATAGTAATAAAGATATTATGTACTATATGTAAAATGATACACACATGCATGATGGAATATTTTACATAATAATTTTGAGTTGAAATGCCTTTTATGGTTTTGCATCACCAGTTGGAATGCCTTGGTGGTTCTGTATCACCAGTTGGAATGCCTTGGTGGTTCTGTATCACCAGTTGGAATGCCTTGGTGGTTCTGTATCACCAGTTGGAATGCCTTGGTGGTTCTGTATCACCAGTTGGAATGCCTTGGTGGTTCTGTATCACCAGTTGGAATGCCTTGGTGGTTCTGTATCACCAGTTGGAATGCCTTGGTGGTTCTGTATCACCAGTTGGAATGCCTTGGTGGTTCTGTATCACCAGTTGGAATGCCTTGGTGGTTCTGTATCACCAGTTGGAATGCCTTGGTGGTTCTGTATCACCAGTTGGAATGCCTTGGTGGTTCTGTATCACCAGTTGGAATGCCTTGGTGGTTCTGTATCACCAGTTGGAATGCCTTGGTGGTTCTGTATCACCAGTTGGAATGCCTTGGTGGTTCTGTATCACCAGTTGGAATGCCTTGGTGGTTCTGTATCCCCCGTTGGACTGCCTTGGTGGTTCTGTATCCCCCGTTGGACTGCCGTGGTGGTTCTGTATCCCCCGTTGGACTGCCGTGGTGGTTCTGTATCCCCAGTTGGACTGCCGTGGTGGTTCTGTATCCCCAGTTGGACTGCCGTGGTGGTTCTATATCCCCAGTTGGACTGCCGTGGTGGTTCTGTATCCCCAGTTGGACTGCCGTGGTGGTTCTGTATCCCCAGTTGGACTGCCGTGGTGGTTCTATATCCCCAGTTGGACTGCCGTGGTGGTTTTGTATCCTTGGAACCTTGTACTAGCCTAGATGTGCTGCAGTGGTTGAGCTTTGGCTCTTTAGTCCCGTCTCTCAACTGTCGTATTGATGGAACCTTGTGGAGGTTCTGGGAATCAACCCCACAACCAGGTCGGACCCTCCTGGTTGGTCAACCAGGCTGTTGGACGAGTTCTCTTGAACACCGAGAGTTCGGCCAGTTGTGCCCCCAGTTGGAATACCTTTGTGATTTCATAACTCCATTTGAAATGACTGTGGTTTTGTATTCCCAGTTTACCTTTGTGATTATGTATCCACAGTTGGAATACTCCAAATAGTTTAATTTGTAAACAATACGCCAAGATGTTTTGTACTAGAGCCATTATTTTTATTGTAAGAACAGTCATTATATATACATTAATATTATATACTCCCAGAACCCCATCCAGGTACAATCATTCCTGCTCAAACTCTAATTACTCATTTAACTCTACTCCCTTAGTAGGTTAGTTATATAAACGAGTCCATTTTTCCTTCACAAAAGATTCCCATACAATACATACTCCACAATAAATCTCCAACTCAAGGTACTAATTTCCTTGGCAGTTATATCAGCAACACTAAACCTCCCAGCTGCAGGTTTCTTTCAGGAAATGTATACTTTACTCTTTTTATGTAGCATTCTCTCTTGGGTAAATTGTTACATAGTTTGTCTCCACCAAAATCTCTATCCCCAAAATCACTTGTCTCTACAGGAGACAAGGTTTGTAACAGCAACATCCTCTAGAATTTCTAAAACTAAAATTTTTCCAAACTGTGCAACTTGCACACTCCCTGTAGGAAACAAAATGACCACTGGGCTGTCGAGAAGGTACAAGGGGGTTGGAAAAATTAATATTGAATTCGGGAAAGATATGAACAAAACGGCATCATAACACTGTGGATGCCTTTCGTTGGACTAGTGTTGGTGGGAGTTTCTTAATCTCTCTTTGGTTCAGTTGTTGCTCCAGATTCTTTACAGACTGTTCAGTAAAGAATCTGGCAAATTTACCAGATTGTAAGTTGTAAAGATGTTGTTCTTTACAGACAGCAGAGTTTCCCTGTTGGGTCCCTCGTCTGTAGTTTCCGGCCCATTGGGTCCATTGTCTGAACTGGGTTTTTTTCCACACGTGGTTAATCTTTCGGTGTCTCAATCAGGAATTTCTTTCCAATGGCAGTATAGGGTTTCTTGGTGCTCCTTCCATCTTTCTCTCTTTCTGTCACCTGTTCACCATTCACTGTTCAACCTTTTACCCAAAGGTTTTATCATTTTTGTCTAGGTTATTTGTGGATGGGCTTCTCATGAAGTGCTTCTCATCAACTTTCACCTTGTATTATTCAGTATTGGTGGGGTCACTGCAGCTGCCATTCCATGTCAAATTTTCACAGGCCTTATTTCACACATTCCCTATGGCATTTTTTCACCTCGTGCTTCTCTGAGCCATCCTAGTCTTTGGATAAAGTTTAAGTTTCTCTGTTTTCTGTTGCCCCTTCAGTTTGGGTTTTCTTAAAGGTTATGAGCTTGTTGGCCCTTTCGGATTTTCTAGTGGTGGTTAAGGATGGGATGGTTGGTTTCCGAGGGGTCCTTTGATTTTTACACTGTTGGTTTGGCTGGGGGGGAGGGTGGCATTTTTTTTCCAGTTGCAACCATTTTGCATTACCTCCATGCCACTAGTGGTGCATGGAGAGGTGGGGAGGGACGGCCCCTCCGGTTGTGCAACCAGTGTGTTTAGTTCCTTGTTCTGGAGACCCTTTGTCCCACGTTGTCCCATGTCAAGTTTAGACCGGTTTATGGTCTGCCTTCAGGCCCATGATTCTAAGATTTTTATGTCTTGGGCAAATATTTGCCCAACCACTTTTACTGGACAGTAGAGATGGTCTTGCTTTTTTTTTGGGTCTGCATTCAATCCCTAACTCTCAAAGTAGTTGGGCACCATTCCTTTCCTCTGTCCTATCTGAAATCCTCATCCTCATATAGCTTCCAAGTGCTTAGTGCTCACTCCTGATACTGTACTTGAATACCTTGACCAGATATTTAAGTTTGGGAGTTTTGGTGGTCCAAAAGCAATAGCTTTCTTAGGTGTTTTGTCTGCTCTGGGCTTGTGAGGTCTTGGATCAGTTGACTTGGCACTGTTTCTCCCCCCCCCCCCACCCCCTTTTTTGTTTTTTGTTTTTTTGTTCCTTCTCCCCCTCTCCTTCATGATGACAAAAACCAAGGAGCCACCATTATGAACCCTCCCAGGAAACCAGTGTTGAATGTAATGAAAGGCATTTTCTAGTGGATCTTTGGTGGCTCTTTTAGACACCCCCTTCCCCAAATGATAATTACCTCACCACTAGGCGACTTTGCTGTCCTGTTTTCCATGGTTTGTTTACCTTGCAATCATTTGTTTAGATTTGCGTACTTTTCTGATGGTCCTTAATTGGTTAAGGACACTCTTGATATTGAAGGGGGAATCAGGTGTTGGGGTGTGGTTCCCAGTAGGCTTATATACAACTCTCAAGGGCCTGGTATGGATTGCATTGTCTGGAGCTTGCCATGTAGCAAGCACCAAAGACCTACCAGAAAGAGGCATTTCATTACATTAAATGTTAGTTTTTGGCATATACATACTGTACTGAACGTGCTTGCCTCGGCACGAATGGCAGTACTGTACCAGTCATCTTTCTTAGCCTTCACAGTATACCTGTAATGAATCTATCTCCTTCACAATGGAGCACATTACCCCTCTATAGTAATATTATTTTAGCAATTCATCTGGACACATGATTACCTTGCTGTAACTTTTAGCAAAATTACTTTTACTGTTGGCCTTATTACTGGGAATAGTAAATATTACTATTCCACTGCATTAATGAAATTCTCCCTCCCACTTTGTTCCTTTTCTCTTCACCAGTCTGGCCATGCTCATTGTGTACTTGTTGCATCCTGCCAAGCTCATTGCACACACACCTATGCTCATTGCATCCATGCATATTTTTTGCACTTTGTGCAGTCTCATTTATCCTGAGTTATGCCTGATGAAGAATACCTTTCTCTATCTTATGCACTTGAACTTTTTTTTTAATTGGTGCATGTTATTGTGAAGAATAAAATACATATTGTTTTCAGGAGCTGAGCCATGTTGAAGTGCAACCAACCAAACCCGTTACCAATGCAGAGAGCGACAAGGACATGAACAGTAGCAGCACTGACAGCAGTGTCCATAAGGCTCAGGATCCTTCATAGTGAAACTGATAATTTCAATCAATATGCATCTGTGGATGCTAAACCACCAAGACCATGCACACTGAAGCAGCATTGTCAGGCCTTTTCTGTTGCACATTGGCATCCTTACTTATCTTGGTGCTCACTAAGTACTCGGCCAACATGGATGTCTCACATTGTAAGCCTAGGAGGGCTGAGTGACTGTAACTGCATGCTTATAGTTACAATGGCCACCAATTAGACATGAAAGAAATTGAGTATCAACTTTAGTATTTAGTATGAATGATTTATATGTGGCCCAGTCTTTAAATTTGTCTGGTTGATGCTGAATGTAACATATACTCAGTTGTCTCAAGTTGCCTGTTATGCCGTCTTTTAGATTCCCAGAGTAATATATAATATTTTAGTGTGTACCATGAATATGGTCTGCCTTGTGTACATATAGATAAGTTTGTCTTGAAAGGTGCCTGTTTACACATGCCCTCCATAATATAGGCTTAAAAGGGTCACGTATACCTATAATGAATGTCCAGGGTGTCTATGTTTACTCAGTTTGGCCCAGGATTCATATTGTGAAACACTCAATGCTTTAGATTTACCCATGAGTGTACGTGCAGATGTGTCACAGCCGTCCATGTGGTACTTAACTTAATCCAGTTTGTATGTGAAATCCAAAGAATAAGAACATTAATTTATGTAGCTTTTTTCATGCTTGTATCTTCTGAGTAAAGATGCATAGTTTATTTTCATAGATGTATTCCTATTTATTTTCATGCTGTGCTTGGATATTGTATTACTGTACATTCCCAGCTTAAGAGTTGCCCTTGTGTAAGGGTCTGGCAGGCAACTAGCCACATATTCCAGACAATTCCATTAGGTCCGTTCCAGTGCTGTCGACTCCATATTTAATGGTCAGGATTTAAAAAAAAATAGTAACTCGTTATTCATCTCACAGCTCGTGTATTAAAGTTTAATAATAATTGGTCAGCGACCATTATGGTAAGAGTTGATGGCACCACAGCCACTTATGGTCTCAAATGCTGGCATTTGTGTTTCCTCAGCAGGTTGATTATTTCAGGGTACTTTCAAGATTAAACTGCAACTCCTGTCCTTTCAAAATTGTTGATTTTATTGGTCTTTCTTACATATACAGCCAGCATGTCTTAGGCCCAGAATATTGTTGATACCCCTTCAACACAAGGCATCGTCAAATGTTTATCATTATTAATGTTTAGCACTGCCAGCCTGCAAGCATGTTACATCATTGCTTTGCACTAAGGATATCCAGTTTCAGGATAGAAAATTGTTATGTACATATTGTAAAGAAGCAAAATAAAACTAACAGATGAAGTTATCAGTGTGTTACTGATGCCATCCAATAAGTAATTTATTCGTTTACTTATGGTTTTGGCATTAGATAGCGAGGTGCTCTCCCAACCTGATATTGTTTATTATTTTGTGTTGGGAGGAGTGGCTGCTGGTGGTAACCTTGCCTGAAGGAGCAATATGCTGCTTAGCTTGTAACATTTGTATATAAAACTAGCAAATTATTAGCTTATTGCTGATTAGCTTTTTGTGTAAGATTTCTCTATTTGTAATTTTTTTGATTATTCCTGATATAGTATTGATTATTTGAAAAATAATAAATAAGATTAAGGTCATAATTCACAATGATTGAGTCGCTTTGAGCACTGCTGCTCCAATATACCTCGCAAGTTGTTCTGGGTATGAAGGTTATAATTTACCAAGTTTCTCTGCGTTGTCAAGGAAATATTGTTTATATTTTTCTTTCTATAATCAGGCACAATACTCAAGTGCTTGTAACTAGTTCTGCTTTTTTTTCCCATCTAGGATGTACAAGGGATGAGTTTTGAGGCTGTTTTCCTTTATGCTCGGAGCAATTTTATTAGTAACAGTGCTTAAGGTGACTTGCATTCTTTGGTCCACTTGTCACTCACAGGAACTACATATCAATATTTCCAACTGTTGGTATTGGAGTCGAGTGTTTATGGGCAAAACACTTGGCTTGTTAAGGTTCCTATGATGGTGTATTGTAACTCTGGTTCTTTTTAGGTCTCAATCTATGGCAGCTTGTGCTCAGTAAGTCACAAAGGTCATTTATATAGGAAAGTTGTTCCACCGAGGAATATTGTTCGTTTCCTGTAGCATATCCAGTGTTTACCTGCTTGTCATTTAATGTAAAACAAGTCTGTAAGCTTACAATGTTATCTTGCCTTTTACCCTGGTCATAGATTTTTAATGGCTTCCATATTAAACCCAGAAGATTAGCAATCACCTGTGTATTGAGAGGTTGTCCTGCACACTGTCCACGAACCGTACCTTGTGAGCAGTGCTGTACCGGTTGTCAGAGTCCCAGTAAGCACCCCTGCATAATTTGCATTAGTAGAGCTTGTGTTTGTAGCAAACTAGGTATAGTAATTTATAGTAAAAAAAGATTGAGCCACAAAATAGTATTAACATTCAGTAAATGCATAAGCCATGTTGAAGGGATAGGGGCCTTTGGTGTTGTCTAGCCTCACTACCTCTGATATGCCTTGCTAGTCCACAAAATGCAGCTTTAACATCGTATACAGATACTCAGTTGTGCAAAACGATGCAGGCGGTGCACTTTAGCTGTCACAGTACCAAATTTATGTACCATTTGTTCTTAGGGCAGGGAAACACTTTGGAAGCTGTAATGCAAGTTGCATCATAATTTTAGATAAAGGTTAATATATTCTTTAATGCTTCCTCTATGTATACTTTAATCCCAAAGTTTTATGTACTGGAAATCTTTAAAACATTTGATATTTTGAAATTAATAGCCATTTTCATTCTCTTATTGATATAGTATTTATTTTTTGAAAATCCAACAACATGGATTTCGACCAATTATGTAATGTGCTGTGGTACATGATTTGAAAGATTTAAAATAAAGGTTGTATCTCCTCACCTGTACTACTTAGTTTAATGTTTTAGGCCAGTACTGTGTTCTCACAGTATGCTAGATTACCGTTTGTGTCAGTGTATTCCCACAGTGATTAAATTCCCACATGTAGTCACAACATAAATTGCTGAAGTTCGTCATGTAATGTAAAGCATTTCCTGCAGAAAAGTAAGGTTAAATGTCCCATTCATAAAAAAAATAAAAATAAAAAAAAATGGTTGCACAGGTGGAAATGTTTAAAGAGCCACCAATGACACTAGAATTTCACAATGGGGGAAGGGTTGAATGAGAGTAAGACACTGCACACGGCAACAATAACGGGCTGTTGTATCTATATTAGACTCTCCTCCAACTTGTAATACACTCACTCTTTAAGTCATCAATAGAGTACCCAGGTGCACTTGTGAATTAAGTTACCAATACTTTATACTGTGCGGTACTTGAAAAGTAATTTGTATCCAACAGTCATTAACGTTAATGAAGTAAGTGAAATATAACAATAGGCTTAGAGTAATGCCTTTAGTGTCTTAAAAGTAACCTTGTAGGTTTTTATTATTGGTTAATAAAAACTAGCCTCAATCTGTTTCTGATCAAAAATATTTTGATTCCAGTTTGTTGCAGCTTGATTAATCAAAGGGACTTGGAAATGAATGATAGCAGCTGATTGTCTGTACAGGAAGATGATACAATATTGTTATCCAGTGTATTTTATTTTATCAAGTTACTGTCCATAGATGAAATAAAGAATTTGTTACAATAAAGATTTTGCTATACCAGTTGTAGTGTGTTTGCATGAAGGCTTCATTAGCTATAGATATTTTGTAATGTCTTACCTAGAATTTGATAACATTCTTAATGTAAATTTAATTTTTGTAAATTCTTTGAATTCAGAAGCCTCTCTCCTGGATGGCATGGTGTATAACTGACAGTCCTAAAATATGGATCCTGGTTCACCCACAAGACAGTTTGCCACCAAGGCTCTCTTGCAAGAATGGAGCATGACAAAGAAAGGTCTCTGCACTGGTGTGGGCACCCCTCTGTGGTGTCACCTTGTCGTGGTGGGGGGCTCATATACCGTCCTGGGACTGGTGAGGGTTGCCTTCTCCTACTTTCTGGACCGTCTTTAGGTGCGTGCAGATGGGCACTGTAGGATTCTTGTGTGACTGCCCGCTGAAGGGGTCGCCCTGAGTAGATGTCCAGGCCGGGGGCGGTGTCCAGCCGGTGTCCAGGCTGGGGCGATAGGGGGACTGAGATCTTTGCACCAGTGTGGGAGAATGAACGATGTAGTAGGATTCCCTTGTTAAAAAGGGGGAGCACCACTGGGGATGACACACCCTTCTGGCACTGGCCCGCACGCGGCCTCCCTGGCTGCCTTGGTAGGCAGTATCTGTTGGTTCCAGGTCCCAAACTTTTAGAACGATTGCTGCATGGATGACAACATGACTTCTCTTACCCAGGCTCATGGGTGGGCGACCAGGCCCCTGAGTCGGACTGCGCTGGAAGACTGGGCTTTATAGCCCCCGCTACATTGGGCCCAGGCTGGACTATTTACCCGCTCCCCTCCCTCCCTCCCTCTGTGGTAGGGTCGAGTCAGAAGCCCTCTGTGGTGACTACCTCGTCCCCTAGCACGGCTCCATCTCTGTGACTACTGCCCCTTATGGCACGCACGCACGCACACGCTCGCTCCCCGCCCTGTGAGGGACGAAAGTCACACTTAAGTCAGAGTGCTCTTCACCCCAGGCTCACTGCCTCAATTGCGGTGAGGCCCATACTACCTTCTCCTGCGCCTGTATACATTACAAACTTAAGGCAACCGTCCTCAACTTGAAGCACCGGGAACGTTTGGTTTTTTCCCCTGAGGCGAGGCACCAAGTTCGCCGTCTCCCCCTTTTTGCTGGCGTCTCTTGCGCTCCTGTGTTGTGTTCTTCCTCTCCTCGTCCTTCCCATCTTCCTCAGTCACACAACTGTTTCCAGACCGTAGACCCGGACATGCCCACCGCATCCTCCCCTGTTCCTGTATTTTCTGTCCTGAAGGGTCCCCCTCCTGGTTCTATCTGGAGTTTCCCGTCTTTCTACCCCAGTCTGTCATGTCTCCTGTGCCTAATTTCTCATCTCCCTCCAATCCTCCTGCCCATCCTTCTCCCCCGTCTCTTATCTCTCCACGCTGCCTGTCTGTACGGGCTGTTGTCCATCACGCTCCCAGCGATCATCGTGCTGTTTGCTCTCGTTCTTCTTCTCCTATTAAGATGCTCGAGTTTGTTGCCCAGTAGGTTATTGCTGGTACACCTGTCTCTGAGTCAGAAGTGAAAGCCTGGCTCATCTTCTTCTTCCTCCCCAGCGGGTAAGAAGGTTTTGCTTTCGTCCTTGCCCCCACCTCTGGCTCTATCGCTCCATCCCCTCCCATTTCGGTGGTCGAGCTCCCCTGTTCCTGCTATATGGAAGTTTCTTTGGCACCCGCCTCTTGGTTGCTGCCCTTGCCGAGGTGCGCTCCCGGTTTCTGCCCCCTCCTCCTTCTCCTGCTGTCCTTTACCGCCTCTCTCTGTTGTCACTCAGTTTACCCATGCCCCCTGATCCTGAGGTTCTTTAACATACTGTGTTCCTTTTTAACCTTTGTTTCTTCATTGTTTTCTGTTGCTGTCCTTTCTCTTTTTATCGACATCTATTCTTCAATGGAAAATTAGTGGATATTACGCCAATTTCCATGAACTCCAACTTTTGATTTCACAGTTTTTGTCTCTTTGTGTCTATCTCCAGGAGCGATGCTTGGTGCTCGTCTTGGTCACTTCCGTGGCTATTCTTTTCTTCCCCCCCTCCCCCCCCCCCTCCTGCTTTTGCTGAGGCCCATAACTCTACTGCTCTCTTGATTCTTTCCGATATTCCCTTCGTCCCCTACTTTTTCCATTGCCTCATCAATGTTCTGCTGCCAGTGTCTTTGTGAGTAAATGGTACACAGTTTGTTCCATTTATCTCCCTCAAATGTCCCGCCTTCTCTTCCCGATCTTAAACACCTACTGGACTCCTTGCCAGGGCCTGTGTTCCTGCTGGGTGATTTCAATTGTCGACATACCCTCTGGGGTGATGTTCTTGCAAACACCCGAGGTCGCATTTTTGAACCATTCATCCTCTTCCCTGTCTTCTGAATTCTGGTGAGCCCACTCATTTGGACTCTCGGACTCGCACCCTTTCCTGTCTTGATCTTTCTCTTTGCTCATTGTCTCTTTACTTGGATTTCTCATGGCTGGTTCTTGACGACCTCCATGGCAGTGACCATTTTCCCATCCGTGTTACCTATTTCTCTTTTCACCCTCCCCTCTCCTTCCCTAGGTGGTGGTTTGCCGAGGCTGACTGGTGCCTATTTACCCTCCGTGCTACTATCTCCGACCTCTCCATTCTGCCTCTCCCTCGCTTTTTTGTGACACCGTCTTCGATGCTGCCCTCCACTCTCTTCCTCGCTCAACCTCCCTGGTGGAATGTGGACTGTGCTCGGGCTGTTCGTTGTAAGCGTGCAGCCTGGAAGACACACCGCCGCCAGCAGACGGCCGATTCTTTTTTGTTTGTTTTGTTTTGGAAGGCGAGTGTGGTGGCCCGTAGGACCATCCATACAGCTAAACGTGAGTGTTGGAAGTCTTGTTTCCAACATTATGTCCGAAACTCCTCTGCTGCAGATCTGGAAGTGTATCCGCAAGATAGCGGGTAAGTTCATTCCTGATGTCTCGCTAGTTCTTCACCTCCGTGGTACGTTGGCGGACCCGTTGCAGGTCGCGACCGAACTGGGTTCCCACTTTTCGTTCGTTAGCTCTGGTTCTCATCTTCCTCAATCTTTCCTTTTTCGTAAGCCTCTTCTTGAATCTCATCCTTTAGATTTCTGCACCCATCTCAGACTTCCCTATAACGATCCCTCCTCTCTCGCTGAACTTCAGTCTGCCCTGGTCCTCTGCAGTTCTACGGCGGCGGGCTCTGGTAGCATTCATTATGAGATGCTTCGCCATTTCCCTCCGTGCATGTCTCGGTATTTACCGAGTCTATATACTCGGGTCTGGGAGTCGTCGTCAGTCCCTGAGGACTGGCTCGATGTCATTGTCCTCCCTGTTCGGAAACCAGGGTCTCTCGGGACGTCCCCTAAGGACTTCCGCCCTATTGCCCTCACGAGTTGTCTGCATGTATGGTTACTGTTCGTCTGATGTGGTTCTTAGAACACTATCACCACTAATCCCCTTCTCAATTTGGTTTTCGCAAGTGCTGCAGCATAACAGATGTCCTGGTGAACTTGGAGGTTTATATTCGCACTGCTTTTGTTGTGAAGACCTCCGTCGTTGCTGTCTTTTTTGGCCTGGAAAAGGCTTACGATACCACCTGGAGATATCATATTCTGTCCCAACTTCATTCTTTTGGCTTTCGTGGTAATCTCCCTCTTTCTCCAAAGCTTCCTCTCTTGTCGTTCCTTTCGAGTGAGGCTTGGTTCCACTCTCTGCCCTTTTTAGGCAATACTAGGGTGTACCCCAAGGTAGTGTTCTGAGCACTATTCTTTTTCTAGTTGCCCTCAATGGACTTCTTTCCTTCCTTCCTTCCTTCTGGCATCTTCTCCGCTCTCTATGTCGACGATCTTTCCCTTTGTTGTCGGGGTAATGATTCGCCTCTCCTTCAACGGCAGCTTCAACTTGCAATTGATGCCATGTCGTCTTGGGCCACCGATCATGGCTTCAAGTTCTCTCCGTCTGAGACTTGTGCTATGACTTTTACTCGGAAGCATGTCGTTCTTCGTCCCTCTTTGTTGCTTTATGGTCATCCCCTTATGAACAGGAATTCTGCTAAGCTTTTGCGGTTAATCTTTGACACTTGTTTGTCTTGGTCGCCCCAAATCTCTTAACTCCAAGTTGAATGCTCTAAGGCCCTTAACCTCCTTAAGGTTTTGTCCCATACTTCTTGGGGAGCAGATAGGCACACGCTCCTCTTTACATTCCTCTATCGTCCTGTCTAAACTCGATTATGGTTTCCCTGCTTACTCATCTGCTTCTTCTTCTACTCTTCGCCATCTTGATGCTTTGCACCATACTGGGTTGTGCCTCGACTCTGGTGCCTTTTGTTCGACTCCCGCCCTCAGCTTTTATGTTGACACTGGTTTCCTATCTCTTCAGGACCGCCGTAATTGCTACTGTCTTCGCTATCTTGCGCGGTCCTTGCAACATACTTCCTCTCGCCTCTGTCGTGCGTTGACCTTTACTACTCCTGTGGTTCCTGTTCCTCTTCACCACCTCCCTCTTTCTGTCCAGTTATCTTGCTTGCAGGATTCTCTTTCGGTTCGTATTTCTAATGTTTCATCGCGTATTGTTCCTTCCTTGCCTCCGTGGAGAGTCCCCCTTCCAAAATTTTGTATATCCTTGACCCGCATTACTAAAGCTTTTACCCCTCCTACAGTTCTGAAACGCCTTTTCCTTGAACACTTTTCTTCACACACTCGCTCCATTTCCATCTTCACCGATGGGTCTAAGTCTGCGGACGGTGTGGGCTACTCCGTTGTTTTGCTGACCACACTTGTGTGTGCCGCCTTCCTTCAGAGACTAGCATCTTCCCAGCAGAACTCTATGCTATTCTCTATGCTCTTCGTCTCCTGCTTTCTTGTTGTCAATCCTCCTTTGTGGTTGTAGTTGACTCTCGTAGTGCCCTCATGGCTCTAGGGTCCTTTAATCCAGTGGTCGTCGAGATTCAACATACTAGTCTGTTTATCTCCAGTAAATTTAAATCGGTAGGTTTGCTCGG